TTTGTTTTTCAAACCATTTTTCAAGTCATTGAAGTGCCAGTTAGATGTTATTGAGGGAAGCATGACAGTTAGTACAACAAGGAAGACATGGGATCCTTACATCATCATTAAAGCCAGAGACATGATCAAGCTTATGGCCAGAAGTGTTCCCTTTGAGCAGGTTTGCTTGCAATGTTCATAATGAATTTGTTTTCTTAAGATTCTAAGCATACACCTTGAGAATGCCTGGAATAGACCATTTTTGTAATTTCCGTATTGGATTGGAACTAGCTTGTACTGGAGGCTCATTCGTGGGAATACCATTAAAAAGAGATAAATACCATTTTCATTTGAAAAGACTCCCCACGTAAGCCTCAGTTGCAAGCTAGTTCCAGTCCTATACCAAGAATACGAAAATGGTCTATTGCATGTCGCATTGTTTACAACATTGTATTTATTATTTTATATCATACTTTATATTGTATCGTTCTAAATTATCATTAGGATTGCATCTGAGTAATTTTCAAAGTAGTTTTGCTATGTAGGTAACGCCTGCATACAAGCCAAGTGAGCCATCAGACCAGTGTTTGTCTCCTGACTAGTTTCTGTTGCATGAAGTGACTAAGAGTATTTCTATTCTCCCCTGGATGGGATGCTAGTCCATCACAGGGCTACCCCCAGCATTAAATTTGCCAGTACCCAATTTTATACCTGTGTGGAGAGGAGAGAGACACTGTGAGAGTAAAGTGTCTTGCCCAAGAACATAATACAATGTCCCCAGGCAGAGCTTGAACCTGAACTGCTCAATCTGGAGTCGAGTGCACTAACCATGAGGCCACCGTGCCTCCACCAGTTTTACTATTAATAGTGATAGTATAATTTTATATTATTATACATACATTACATAACTATTTATAATATCTAATAAAATTTAAGTAGTCCCTTATTAGTAGGTCTGATGGCTGGCTAGAAGAGAAGACACTGTAATCAAGTTTCAGCGTGGAAAAAATTTCTACATACATGTAACTTACATTTTAGAACAATGTGATCCTTTTGTCTGCTTTTTAACAATTAAATATTGTTCAAGAGTTAAAATACCTGGTCCATGTCTTAGGGGACAGACCTAGAACTTGATGTATAACTGTTATCTTTTTTATGGCAGGCTCAGCGTGTTCTGGAAGATGAGGTTGCATGTGACATCATTAAGATAGGATCGCTTGTCCGAAACAGAGAGAGATTTGTTAAGAGAAGGCAAAGGCTTATTGGTCCAAATGGAGCAACATTAAAGGTCAGTTAGCAAGTTATCCTTCTTTTAAAATATCCTTTTTTTAAATAATCTTTTCTAGAATTCAGTGTTACAGTGATTGAATTAGAAAACATTTTCCGTGTTTCTATTGAGTTTTAGTAGAATTCTACTAGTATACTAATGCAAATGCTGCAATCTTATTGGCTGAGCTATTTGTATACTATCAGCTATAAGACTGCTGTTGGTTGTCCATGAAATGCGACCTTTTTTTCTCTTTTTCTCTGAAGTTTTGGAGGAAAGTTTAGATGTATGTAAATTTCTGAGGAGACTAAAAGAAGGACACTAACGGTTTCTTGACTTTAAAAACTTAAAAATATTGAAAGAATGGATTCGCAGGTGTACACAAGTGCAAATTTACCAAAGACAGTTCAATACATGCGATGTTGTAAAAGTGTAAAGTACAATAATGTGTAGTAAAATAAGTGGAAACCGTTATTTGTGTTAATTTCAGTTAGAATTCCACTAGAATTSCATTYGCTCTYRATTTCTATGAGGCGATAGTTGATTTGGCCTTCGGCCTCATCAACTATCACCTCATAGAAATCTCGAGCTCATAATCTAATTGTTGAATAGAAACAAGCGGGAGAAGTTTGAGAGAAGGAGAAATGTTGTGAGAAAAGGACCCAATAGGCAAGTGTTTCCACAACTTTGTCAAGTTCTCCCAAACGTTCATGGGTATTTCTATAACTCGATGGAAACACCAAGATAATGTTTTCTATCGTCTTTAAAAAACAGCCCAAAGAAAATTTTGAACAATGTGACTACAGCAACTTTTCTGTTTTTCTTTCAAGTTATATTGTATAGTTAAATAAAATTTTTAAGCAATCAGCATTCATATTTCCTTTGGGCTATTTTCAAACACATTTTAATTTTAAGCACAACTAATTTTAAATCGTTATCTTTGAAGGCTCTAGAACTGCTCACACAATGTTATATCATGGTGCAAGGAAACACTGTAGCTACACTGGGCCCGTACAAAGGACTAAAACAGGTCAGAACTCTTCTGCACATTGCAGTTTGTTTTGCCTGCCTGTCTTGAGTGTTTGCAATGCCTTTTGTTTTGATCTTGATACAGTAGCTAACTAAAGACAGACAGGGTCCATTCCAAAATATATTCTTACTTACAGATTGTAACTTTTGACAACCCCCTAGTTTCATAATGATTTTCAGTGTAGACTCTGTTTAACAGTTAAGCTGCTCTGGCAGCAACATAATTTTGCAAACATAAAAGTTAACAATATTAAAATTGCAGAAAAGAATCAAGGAAACTCCCTTAGAATTATATGTAAGGGAATTTTAAAGTAACCTTGTGGTCATTTTCGTCAAGAGATTTGATCACACTAAATAACTTAATGAAGCTCAGATGCTGAGGGCTTATAATCTTCTCCCATGTCTCATCCATCAAACTCATGACAACAAAAATATAAAGAAAACATTAGGGTAAGCCTGAACTGTTGGCCTACAGCCAGAGGACCTAATAGTAGCTAAATACCAGTTTGTTTACTGTATTTTGCACAGGTTCGTAAGGTGGTAGAAGACACGATGAAGAATATTCATCCTATTTATAACATCAAGGTTTGTGGAAATTGCTTGACAAACTGTGCCTTTAAATTTTGAAATAAAACAGATTATTAATTCTAGTCTACTAAACACATTTTTGTTAAATCCAGGAATCCCTTATTTCAATAAGTCATTAGTTTGTCACTGGGCTTTGGTTAAGGCGTGGGGGGAGAAGTAAATATTCTAAGTTACTTCATGCTGTACAAGCTACCATTAAGTGTTACATGTAGTTGTATGACAAACACAACAACAGCAATAACAACAACCTGAATCACTTTCCATTCAATCAAAAATGCACCTGAAAGTTTTGGCTTGGGGGGATCATGTGTGAATGGTAAACACTTAATGGCTTTGCCCCCCTGAAAAATTCTTGGAATTAGAATGGTACTTCCTCAGGCAGTCTCATCTGCATATAGTTCATGTGTTTTTTTATTTGGGCAGGGGGAGGAGGAGAAGAGAGAGGAGGTATTTTGGTAGTACAAAGCAAAAATGTGCTCACCAGTTTCCTGGAAACCAAAATTCTTTTTGACAGACTTGTAAGCACTGCAGGTTTGCTATGTAAACTTGTGGACAGAATTTTAAATTCTTTTAACTTCATATCTCATACTATCTTCCTTGCAGACACTAATGATAAAAAGAGAATTAGCTAAGGATCCAGAGCTAAAAAATGAATCTTGGGACAGATTTCTGCCTAAGTTTACACAGAGAAATGCAAAGAAGGTCAAGAAATCCAAGTTTAAGAAAAAGGAATATACTCCATTCCCTCCACCACAAACAGAAAGCAAGGTAAGTGAATAAGAATTTTAATTCAGTTTTACTTGTAATCTTCCAACTTCATTTTTTTGGCAGTCAGTAAACAGGCAAGTTATTCAAAGTCTGTATTAAACAGACTTTCTCAAAGTCATTTGTCAGTAGTCATAGTCAGTAGTCCCAACGTGCTTTTTCTTCGTTGGGAAATGAGTTCTTTTTTTTTTTTATAAATGCAAACACTTTGTACTGTTTGGGAACATCAATATGGTTGCCATGAACATGCTCTACTGCCGCAAGCAACTCTTTTGTTTTCTTCGTGATCGTCAAACTGCCCAGGTGCACCATAACTCAATAAATATACACACTAAAGGATGAACCAAATGTTGATACTGAGAAGTTTGAGTAACAGTATGTGAACTACTAATAAAAATTGAATTTCAACAGATCTTGGCAAATCAATACAAGAAATATATCAAACAAATACATTTCGTGAAGCATGAGAAAAACAGTTGCTGTCATTAGATTTAAATTTTTAATTTTTTATTGTTTTGTGCTATTTACAAAAATCATACCTTTAACAGTATTTACAGAAATTATATTAATTAAAACGAGAAAAGAAATAAAGCAGTAAATAGCCAAAATGAAAAAATTAATGTGCTCAGTGACCAAAGTAGCATAGGCTTTTTTTAGAATTATCCCTTGTTTTATTTACTAAATTGAAGGCCATGTTATCAATGTTTTCTCCATTCAGATTGATAAACAGTTAGCAAGTGGTGAATACTTTCTTCAAGAGAAAGAAAGAAGATTAAAGGCCCAACAGGAAAGAAAGGTATGTAATTTGTATGCAATCCAAAACAAACAACTGACAGAACAGGTAACTTAAGAATTGAGTACTGAATTGCATATGCCTGTTTGTCCTCAAAGGAAAGATAAATTTACTGTCTTTATCTGACCTATGAAAGTTTTGTAGGTCAATTTGATTTTCTTGTGCAGTTTCGCTGTGCAAGAAGGGACTTGATTTAAGTATCCCCTAAATGAAATACTGGGTTCAAAAATTAGTTCAGTTTTGGTTGGTACTGGGGTGAAATTATCATACTCCCATGAACCTTATTCTGAGTATTTTCTATCTATTTAATATCATCATTCACAATTATTTCAATAGGCTCGACAAGTGGCAGCAGAGGAAAAGAGGAAAGCTAAGCGGGAACAGGCGTTCATTCCACCAGTGGAGGAAAAACCCAAAAAAGAAACTAAGAAGAAAGGTAAGATGATATTCTGTAAGATGACATTAATTATTTTTCTTTTATTGTCCCTATAGTTATGCATACCACATTATTACAGTTACATTTATCATAAGGTTCCAAAAGTCTTAACCCCTCTCAATTACTGGGTTAAATTTCAATTTGCTGGGTTCTTTGCAATACCGGTAATTTTGGAATACAACAGCAAAATGGGAATGTTGTTACACAACTATTGAAATAGATTAAAGNGCCCAGGTGCACCATAACTCAATAAATATACACACTAAAGGATGAACCAAATGTTGATACTGAGAAGTTTGAGTAACAGTATGTGAACTACTAATAAAAATTGAATTTCAACAGATCTTGACAAATCGATACAAGAAATATATGAAACAAATACATTTTGTGAAGCGTGAGAAAAACAGTTGCCGTCATTAGATTTAAATTTTTAAATTTTTATTGTTTTGCACTATTTACAAAAATTATAACTTTAACAGTATTTACAGAAATTATATTAAAATGAGAAAAGATATAAAGCAGTAAATAGCCAAAATGAAATGTGCTCAGTAACCAAAGTAGCATAGGCTTGTTTTAGAATTATCCCTTGTTTTACTTACTAAATTGAAGGCCATGCTGTTGATGTTTTCTCCACTCAGATTGATAAACAGTTAGCAAGTGGTGAATACTTTCTTCAAGAGAAAGAAAGAAGATTAAAGGCCCAACAGGAAAGAAAGGTATGTAATTTGTATGCAATCCAAAACAAACAACTGACAGAACAGGTAACTTAAGAATTGAGTACTGAATTGCATATGCCTGTTTGTCCTCAAAGGAAAGATAAATTTACTGTCTTTATCTGACCTATGAAAGTTTTGTAGGTCAATTTGATTTTCTTGTGCAGTTTCGCTGTGCAAGAAGGGACTTGATTTAAGTATCCCCTAAATGAAATACTGGGTTCAAAAATTAGTTCAGTTTTGGTTGGTACTGGGGTGAAATTATCATACTCCCATGAACCTTATTCTGAGTATTTTCTATCTATTTAATATCATCATTCACAATTATTTCAATAGGCTCGACAAGTGGCAGCAGAGGAAAAGAGGAAAGCTAAGCGGGAACAGGCGTTCATTCCACCAGTGGAGGAAAAACCCAAAAAAGAAACTAAGAAGAAAGGTAAGATGATATTCTGTAAGATGACATTAATTATTTTTCTTTTATTGTCCCTATAGTTATGCATACCACATTATTACAGTTACATTTATCATAAGGTTCCAAAAGTCTTAACCCCTCTCAATTACTGGGTTAAATTTCAATTTGCTGGGTTCTTTGCAATACCGGTAATTTTGGAATACAACAGCAAAATGGGAATGTTGTTACACAACTATTGAAATAGATTAAAGATTTTTTTCCCTCATTCCATAATAATAATTATTGTTTTTGCAGAGAATGATAGCAAAGTGGACGTGGAGGCATTCAAAA